TGTCCATTCTCTTTAGCATTCCGTCAAATCTTTTTTCAAGGTTCTTAGTTTCTTTGCATTGGGTTAGAACATGTTCTTTTAGTTCACAGAAATTTCTTACTACCCACCTTCTGAAGTCTGATTCTGTCATTTCATCACACTCGTTCTCCATCCAACCTTGTTCCCTTGCTGGTGAGGAGTTGTGATCCCTTTTAGGAGGAGAGGTGTTCTGGTGTCGGGTGTTTTCATCCTTTTTGCGCTGGTTTCTTCCCATCTTTATGGATTTATCCACCTGTCGTCTTTGTGGTTGCTGGCTTTCAGATTGTGTCTCTGAGTGGACGTTCTGTTGATGATCAGGTTATGTCTGCTTCTTAGTTTTCCTTCTAACAGTCTGGCCCCTCTGCTGTAGGTCTCCTGAGGTCCACTCTAGGCCCTGCTTGCCTGGGGATCACCTGCAGCAGCCTCTGCGTTTTCACTAAGATCTGCAATCCTGAGCTGTTCCTAAATGGCCATCTTGGATCCACCCCGATACTATAATATTTTTTTCCCTTCAAGTTTTCTTCTAGTTTAAGCTCACATTTTTAGCCAGTGTCCACTGGCTTCTGCTTGTCTGTAGAGTGAAACACAGAGACCTGGGCAGGAAGTTTAGAACCAGTCAGAGTGCTGGACCAGCTCGTCTCTTCCCACTTGCTTTTGTTGGTGGTAGAAGAGATCCGCGTTGCCCCGAGTTCCAAACTGTCCTTTCGGGTCGGATCCGTAGATCTTCAGTCTGTGCCTCCCCAGAAGAAAGGGATGGACATGTTGGCCAGGATGGTTCCGATTTCCTGGCCTCCTGACACGCCAACAGCAACCTCCCAAAGTGTTGGGATAACAGGTGTGAGCCACTTCTTTTTTTTTTTTTTTAAACTGTGGGTGTCTTTTTATTAAGGTGAGATCTCTTGGGACCAATGTTTCATGAATAGAGTTGCCAGATAAAATATAAGACGTGGTTAATTTGATATTTCAGATAAACAATGTCTAGTATTTTAGAATAATTGCATCCCAACTATTGCACTGGACACACTAATACTAAAAAATTAGTTTTTGTTTACCTGAAATTTTAATTTTACTGGGGCGTTGTATATATATATATATATATTTTTTTTTACTTTAAGTTCTGGGATACATGTACAGAATGTGTAAGTTTGTTACATAGGTATATGTGTGCCATCTCAGTTTGCTGCACCTATCAACCCGTCACCTAGGTTTTTAGCTCCACATGCATTAGCTATTTGTCCTGATGCTGTCTCTCTTCTCACCCCCACTCCCGACAGGCTCTAGTGTGTGTTGTTCCTTTCCCTGTCTCTATGTTTTCTCATTTTTCAACTTCCACTTATGAGTGAGAACATGTGGTGTTTGGTTTTGTTCCTGTGTTAATTTCCTGACATGATGGCTTTCAGCTTCATCCATGTCCCTGTAAAAGACATTATCTCATTCCTTTTTATGGCTGCATAGCATTCCATGGTGTAAATGTACCACATTTTCTTTATCCACCGGTCTATCACTGATGGTCATTTGGGTTGGTTCCATGTCTTTGCTATTGTGACTAGTGCTGCGATAAATATGCGTGTGCATGTATCTTTATAATAGAATGATTTATATACCCAGTAGTGAGATTGCTGGGTCAAATGGTATTTCTGATTCTCGATCCTTGAGGAATCACTGCACTGTCTTCCACAATAGTTGAACAAAAGCTAAAATTGACAAATGAGACATAATTAAACTAAATAGTTTCTGTACAGCAAAAGAAACTATCATCAGAGTTAGCAAGCAACCTACAGAATGGGAGAACATTTTTGAAATCTACCTATCTGACAAGTGTCCAATATTGAGAATTTACAAAGAGCTTAAACAAATTTACAAGAAAAAAAACAACCCCATCAAAAAGTGGGCAAAGGATATGAACAGACACTTCTCAAAAGAAGACATTTATGTCGCCAACAATCGTGGAAAAAAGCTCAACATTACTGATCATTAGAGAAATGCAAATCAAAAGCACAATTAGATACCATCTCATGCCAGTTAGAATGACAATTATTAAAAAGTCAAAAAACAACAGATGCTCTTGAGGCTGTGGAGAAATAGGAACACTTTTATACTGATGGTGGGAATGTAAAGTAGTTCGACTTTTCATTTTATTTAAGCTTTCTTTGCCGTGCAGAAGCTCTATAGTTTTACATCGTCCCATTTATTTATTTTTGCTTTAAAAAAGTTTTTGCCTTTGCTTTTGGTGTTCTATACAAAAAGATCCTTGTCAAGGCCAATTTCAAAGAGTTTCTTCCCTATTTTTTCTTCTAAGTTCTATAGCTTCAAGTCTTACATTTAAGTTTTTAATGCATTTTCAGTTGATATTTGTGTGTGCTGTAGGATGTGTTCAGTTTATTTTTTTGCAGGCGGATGTCCAGTTGTCCAAACACATTTTTTTTTGAGACAGAGTCTCATTCCATCACTCAAGCTACAGTGCGGTGGCGTGATCTTGGCTCACTACAACCTGTACCTCCCGAGTTCAAGTGATTCTCATGCCTCAGTCCTTCTGTGTCGCTGGAATTAGAGGCATGTGCCACCAAGCCCAGCTAAATTTTGTACTTTTAGTAGAGACGGGATTTTGCCATGTTGACCAGGATGGTCTCAAACTCCTGGCCTCAAGTGATCTACCCACCTAGGCCTTCTAAAGTTCTGGGATTACAGGCATGAGCCATCACACACAACCCAAGCACAAAAGAGACTATGCTTTTTCCATTGTGTATTCAGGGCACCTTTGTCAAATATTAGTTGGCCAGATATACTTTTTTAAAAAATCTGGGCTCTCAATTCTGTTCCATTGGTCTATGTGTCTGTTTTTATGCCAGTATCATACTGCTTTCATGACTAGAAATTTATAGTATAATTTGAAATCGGAAAGTGTGATGCCTCCAATTTTAAGGTTGCTTTGGCACAGGGTCCTTTGTGGTTCCATAAAAATTTTAATATTAGTTTTTCTATTTCTGTGAAAAATTCTGTTGGACTTAAACTAGTGATTTCCTTGCATTTGTAGATCACTTTTAGAAGTATGGACATTTTAATAATACGAATTCTTTCAATCCATGAACACAGTATATCTTTCCATTTATTTTTGTTTTCTTCGGTTTCATCAATGTTTTATAGTTTTCAGTGTACAGATGTTTCACCTACTTGTTTACTTTTATTCGTGTGTGTGTGTGTGTGTGTGTATAATATATCTATATATACACACACACACAAACACATATAAGTATATATACATACACACATATGGAGTCTCACTCAGGCTGGAGATCTTGGCTCACTGCAACCTCCACCTCCTGGGTTCAAGTGATTCTCCTGTCTCAGCCTCCCAAGTAGCTGGGATTACAGGCACATTCCACTATGCCCAGTTAGTTTTTGCAATTTTAGTAGAGACAGGGTTTCACGATGTTGGGCAGGCTGGTCTCAAACTCTTGACCCCAAGTGATCCCCCTCCTCAGCCTCCCAAAGTGCTGGGATTACAGGTGTGAGCCACTGTGCCCAGCTATTTTATATATTTTTGATGCTATTGTAAATAAGATTGTTTTCTTAAATTTATTTTTGGATATTTTATTGTTAGCATAAAGAAATGCTACTGGTTTTCATGTGTTGATTTTGTAACCTGCAACTTTACTGAAGTAATTTATTAATTTTAAGAGTTCTTTGGTGGAGTCTTTAGGATCTTCTATACATGGGATCACTTGGTCCCATGGAAACAGTTTTTTAGCTCTTACATTTAGGCTTTTGATGCATTTTGAATTAATGTTTGTATATGATGTAAGGTAAGAATCTGATTTCATTCATTTGTATGGGGAAATGCCGCTTTCCTAGCACCATTTGTTGAAAGGACTGCCCTATCACCATTAAATGGTCCTAGCACCATTGTCACAAATAATTTGATCATATATGACAACATTTATTTCTGGGTTCTCTATTCCATTCCATTGTTCTATATGTCTATCTTTATTCCGGTTCCACAGGTTTTGATTACTGTGGTTTTGTGATAAGTTTTGAAATCAGAAAGTAGAAATCCTCCAACTTTGTTCTTTGTTTTCAAGTTGGTTAGGGCTTTTGGGATCCCTTGAGCAAAGTCCATATCAATTTTAGGATGGATGTTTCCATTCCTGCAAAATACTTGGTTGGGATTTTGGGTTTTTCTTGAGACAGGGTCTCAGTCTGTCACCCAGGCTGGAGTGCAGTAGCCCAATTACAGTTCACTGCTGCCTCGACCTCCCAGGCTCAGGCATTCCTCCCACTTCACGCTCACTAGTAGCTGAGACTATAGGCATGCACCGTCATGGCTGCTAATTTTTGTGTTTTTGGTAGAGACAGGATTTTGCCATCCTTCCCAAGCTGGTCTCAGACTCCTAGGCTCATGCAATCTGCCCGCCTCAGTCCCCACAAAGTGCTGGGATTACAGGTGTGAGCCACCACACCTGGCCTTGGATTTTAATGGGGATTAATATCTGTAAATCTGTAGACCACTTTGGGAATATCAACATGTCATCAATATTTAGTCTTCCAACCTGTGAACTGTTTACATTTTTAAATAGAATGTACTAGTGTATTATTTGTGTAATCAAACATAAACAAGTTTTTAGAAAGAGGTTTTGGCAGAGGAACTAGTAAATTTCTCATGCCTTTTCATGTAACTTGACTGGATCTCAGTAACCAATTTTTAAAGCTTGCAATCAGTTCTGGGGAAAAACATAGATATTAGGAAAGAAATGATCATCTGATTATATGTGTTAATAGAAAATGTTTATGGCTTAATAATCTGAAACTAAATTAAATCATGTAATATTGACAAATTAAGCTTATTTAGGCATTTAATAGCGTTACCTGAACTCAGATATGCTTTTATCTGGCTTATTTTGCTCACAGTGAAATAAAATTTAGTCCCATTGATCAATAACCAGTTTTTCTATTCACATTGCTTAAAATTGTTTCTCATTGTACAGAGAATCCGTTGGGTTTCATTTCCTGGATGTTATTCGTGAACGTTGTAACTCATCAGAAAATATTGGAAAAGCTCACCTATTCTATATTGACATGCTTTTACAAAGAAAGGAAGAACAGCTTGCCAAGGAGAAGATTGAAGAAATCATTTTAGGTCAGTAGGATTTTTGCATGTGTTTTAGAAAGGTATTAATTTGTGTATAATTCGTAGATGGCAGATTAGTAGCAAAATCCTCAAGTCAATGCATTTCTTTCACTTCCTTTTTTCTTTCCTCCCTAATGGTCTTTCAACAGTAACACCTCACCTGTCCACATCCCACAAATTGGGCACGTGGAACAAGAAACTAAGCAAAAATAAGAAAACATCATTGAAAACAGAAAAACTTCTGAGCTTAAAGCTCGCATGTAGTGGAATATTGTGAAGTTACAAGCCTAATTTGGTATCTCTAGTTTGATCTCAAATAAGCTGTGTACTTTTGGACAAGTCAATTTCTCTGGACATTGATTTTTTTCAACTATAAAATATTGATTGTGAACTAAACTCATGGTTTTCAACTTCTTTTCAGCAGCAGGATCCTTTTGTGATGCAATCTTATATGCTCCACCCTGAAAGAAATAGATTAGCTTTTCTGGTTGAAGGAGAGATGTAGAGACACATCTATATTCTCTGCATTCCCCTAATCCTCTGCCTCCCTGAAGAACTTCTGTACCCTGAAGAACACAGATAGTATGGTCCCTTTCTTAGAAAATTTTCTTAACCATCTCGTCCTCTCAACTAAGTGCATGTAGAGATGTAATTCGATTGATAGTCACTAAATGCTAACTCTGGAACTTATTCTGAATGGTGGCATTTTTGGTGATGTGTTGCTTTCTTCTAAATACTATACCACATTGTTTGAATTTTATTTATTTATTTATTTATTTTTATTTTTTAATTACATTTTACGTTTTGGGGTACATGTGAAGAACAGGCAAGATTGTTGCATAGGTACACACATGGCAGTGTGATTTGCTGCCTTCCCCCGCATCACCTATATCTGGCATCTCTCCCATGCTATCTCTCCCCAACTCCCCACCCCCCACTGTCCCTCCTCTATTTCCCCCCTACAGACCGCAGTGTGTGATGCTCCCTACCTGTGTCCATGTGTTCTCATTGTTCAACACCCAGCTATGAGTGAGAACATGTGGTGTTTGATCTTCTGTTCTTGTGTCAGTTTGCTTAGAGTGATGGTTTCCAGGTTCATCCACATCCCTACAAAGGACATGAACTCATCGTTTTTGATGGCTGCATAGAATTCCATGGTGTATATGTGCCACATTTTCCCTGTCTAGCCTATCTCGATGGGCATTTGGGTTAGTTCGAGGTCTTTGTTATTGTAAACTGTGCTACAATGAACATTCGTGTGCACGTGTCCTTATAGTAGAATGATTTATAATCCTTTGGATGTATACCCGGTAATGAGATTGCTGGGTCAAATGGAATTTCTATTTCTAGGTCCTTGAGGAATCGCCACACTGTCTTCCACAATGGTTGAACTAATTTACACTCCCACCAACATTGTAAAAGTGTTCCTATTTCTCCACATCCTCTCCAGCATCTGTTGTCTCCAGATTTTT